AAACATGAGATAGTACAGTTGATCCATGAACAACATGGGTTTGAACTGCACAGATCCACATATGCACAGATGTTTTTCAATATTGCACGGGTTTACTTATACACAGATTAATTGGAAAAAAAATCCACGTATAAGTGGACCCATACAGTTCAAATCCATGTTTTTCAAGGGTCAGCTGTACACGATCTATGGTTGGTTGAGTCTGTGGGTGAGGATACGGGGGGTGGACTACTGGACTTGCGCATCTGCAGACTTTGGTATCCGTGTGGGTCCTGGAATCAGTCCCTCAAGGATACCAAGAGATGACTGTATAGTCATCTTTTAAAAAAAATCCAGTCGCATGGTTGAAAAATAAAAAGGGGACACACTGCACGGTCTCTTTGTAACCCCTTTCCCCGTCAGCCTGGTCCCCCTCCTCCTGCACTGTCCACAGCCCATGGGCAGGCACAGCCAGCTCTTGTTTGAACAACTTGAATTCTAGGTGGTGCCCCTCTCTCTGAACACGTTTTAGAGCTACTGCCTTTAAATAGGTGCAAGACTCGTCTGTATCTAGTCAGGAGAAAGAAACCACATAGTAATTTGAACAAGGAGAGTTTAATATAAAGAATTTTTAACTGCAGCAAGAGATTAGAGTAATAAGGGATTGGCTACTAAGAAGTAAACTCTAAAAATTAAAGGAATAGCTGGTGTACCCAGGGCTGAGATCCAGACTTCATTGGACAGCACACAGCCACAGCTCACCTCATGGCAGAGAAGCCACACTGGTAGAATTTGCTTGAAATCAGCCCTCTGGAACTTGCCAGAAATCTGTCCTTTAAGGTGTCTGGGAAAGCTGTTCACAGGGAGGTGTCTCCCCAGAAACAGTCGACTGCAAAACTGCCTCTGGGAGTTCCAGGGAAAGCTGCAGGGTGCTGCTGGCAGCTGTGCACTGCGGGAGCCTATCCAGCTGCAGAACCAGAGCCTGGCAGCAAAACTCTCTCCTCCTTCAGTGCCTTTCCAGCACCCTCCACTGAGAAGCTTAACATCATACAAGTTAACGCAGAAAAACTGTTGGAAAGGCTCAGAGCCATTTTCACAGAGCATGCAAAAAGGGTAGACTTGGAGCTCAGAGGCAATATGTTGATAACCAGCACGGTGACTAAGAAATACAAATAGTCATGACATCCTGAGTGAAACATTCCTGGAGGATGTGTCTGCATACGATAGATTCCAGAACCAAATATTAATGATTTAGGTGTTATTCTTACTACTTACGTTATTTTTCTCTCTTGACTGAGAACTGACTGAAGTTTTTTTCTTCACTTTTAGTCAAAGTGTCAGTCATATAGGTACACCTAGGGTGCAGCAAGCAGAAAAGAAATGCCTTTTGAGTAAAATTATTAGTTCTATAGAAACTGTAGAGGTAGGAATAGCAGATACAGAATATAGGGGGGAAACAAAGTTGTCTAAAACATATGTTATATATTCCATCAGTTTTGCTCTCCTAAGGCCTGCTGAGGCATCCTGCTGTACCAGAATGAACCAGCTTTCCTTCTGCTGGTGCAGAGCTGTTACCTTAGGGTCATTCTTCACCATTCCTTTCCCTGCTTTTCTGTGTTGGATCATGTCTTTTTTTAGTCCAGAATCTTCCTCTTTGTTGGGTCAGTTTTTTCCAACAGCATTCTGAGAAGGGCTGCATGGAAGATCAATTATTTTGAGAGTTTGTATAGCTGAAAATGTCTATTCTGTCCTGATATTTGATGAGTAGTTTGGCTGGCTATAAAAATCTAGGTTGAAAATAATTTTCCTTCAGAATTTTGAAGTCATTTCCACACTGCTATTAAAGTTCCATTTGGAAGTACGAAGCCGTTCTGATACCCATTCCTTTCTGTGTAACCTGTTTTTCTTTCTGGAAGCTTTTACAAATTTTTCTGTTTCCAGTATTCTGAAGTATTATGATGACATGACTTGGAAAGGCATATTTTTATCCCTTGTTATGAGCATTTACTTGATAATATTCTCTTTTTGTTTTTTTTTTTTTTGGGCACGGGCATTCCTGTTTTTCAGATGTTCAACCTTCCGGACTGATCTTCCAGTCTTCTTACCTTGTGTCTCCTATTTTCTACCTTTGTCTTTTTTGCTTTCTTGGCAGACTTGAGGTCTACAAGTTCTACGACTTGAAGCCTACAAGTCTATGACTTCTACAAATTTTAATTTGGACATTACATTAAAAAAATTTTTTTTTTGTAGTCTTTAAAATGTTGTTGTTGTTCTCTGAATGTTCCCTTTTAGAGCATCCTATTCTTGTTTCACAAGCACAACATCCTCTTTTTTCTCTCTGGGAATGTTAATGAGAGGTTTTCTTTTTTCCTTGACTTTTCATCTTGCGTGAGATCTGTACTTCCTACAAGTTGACTTTTTTTCTGCTGGTTTTGGTTTCTGTCTTTCTTCTTTGTTAGGCATCTATTGAGTTGCTCAGTTTTAAGAGTGGGGCTCTAAAGCAGAGTTTCTTAACCCACGTGCCCCCCCCAAAAAAGATGTTATAATGTGTGAAGATAATGATGGTGTCAGCCCTCCAAGTGGCAGGGCAGCATCTGGGGAGGCTGAATCCCCCTGGCCCTGCACACAGCCTCATCTGTTTACCCCAGGGTCATATTACATTTTCTGCGTGTGGTGTGAAGTGAAGAAGTTTCAGAAGTGCTCCCCACAGTGCGTGGGAAGCTCAGAGCCCATAGGTTGGCTTAGTGACAGTGGATTTCATTTTTGCATGGTCCACCTGGGTCATTTTCTTGAGGCAGATCTGTGCCCATGTCTTTAGACCTTCCCTTTGGGGCTGATCAAATCCTCCAGAAGAGTCATCAGGTTCTCACCTGGAGGATGTAGGCCTGGCTTTCAGTAATTTTAGGAGCAAAATTGAGAAAAAAGACTGCTGATCTCAGCATTCAATATGTAGACACTCTCTTGACTCTCTCAGTTTTTGGTGCAGTGCACCTACCCTCAGATGTGCCTGCTACCCCCCTGTCCAGAGACACCCGCTCCATCTCACACTCTCCAGAGCACGTCACTTATCTTCCACTGGAGCTGGGGAGCCTTACTAAACAGGGCAGAGGAGTCGTGTATCTATGTGGAGCAAGGATCTGGGAACTCACCTATTTCCTAAGACTTTGTCAGTCTCTTCTTCTGTAACTAGCTCATCCTTCACCCCTCCTTCCACAGCTTCCTCATCCTACCAATTCCGAGCCTTGGGGTAATTAAATGCAACTTAGGTTGTGTCTGAGCTTCCCTCGCTGCTAAATTAGGAATATCTTTTAGAACTTGGGTAAAGTACCTGTTCTTAAACAAGGCACAAAAAGTGTTGACTGTGAAAAATTATTCTTCACATTGTTCATCACCTTAAAAAAAAAGTGTCAAGTCTGCCAAAGGTTTGATATCAAGAAGATAACAAAAAACGCCTACACCTCAATATGAGGAGAGTGATTAGCTCAATTAAAAATGAGACTTGAGGGACTTCCCTGGTGGCACAGTGGTTAAGAATCTGCCTGCCAATGCAGAGGACACGGGTTCGAGCTCTGGTCCGGGAAGATCCCACATGCGGCGGAGCTACTAAGCCTGTGCACCACAACTACTGAGCCTGCACCCTAGAGTCCGCGAGCCACAACTGCTGAGCCCTTGTGCCACAACTACTGAAGCCCGCGCACCTAGAGCCCCTGCTCTGCAACAAGAGAAGCCACCACGATGAGAAGCCTGCACACTGCAACAAAGAATAGCCCCTGCTCGCTGCAACTAGAGAAATCCCGCGTGCAGCAAGACCCAACGCAGCCATAAATAAATGAATGAATGAATGAATAAAAAAGAGAGAGACTTGAACTGGACATGTGTTTCACAGAAGAGGAAACACAGGGGGCTACAGACCTTTGAAGAGCTGTTTAGCACCTGGGTAATGAGGGGAAGGCAGGTCACAACCACCACCGGAGACCATACTTCTCTCACTGGATCGTGCATTGGAGGATTAGGAAGTGGGACAGAGATAAATGTCATAGACTTTGTGGGTCCACACATCCCCTTACATATACCAGATGAGGCTAAAAACTGCTCCAGCTACTTTGGAGAATAATTGAGTATTAGCTCATACTTTGGAGAAGAAAGTAGCTTAATTCTACTCCCAGGGATACACCCAAGAGAAATTCTTTTGCATATCACAAAAGGAGACATATACAAGGATAGTCATAGCAGTACTGTTCACAATACCAAAAACCTGGAGCCCCAGCCCAGGGGCTCATCAACAGGAACGTGGCGTACTATACAGCAGAAAGAGCAAAAGAACGCGTGTGATATGCAGCAAGAGGAATGACTCAGCAATATAATATCAAATGAAAAAAGTTAGCCCCAGAAGATTACAGACAGCATGAAACACTTTTATAAAATTAAAAACTTAAAATTATATGTATATATTGATTATCAATAAATCTATATATGTTATAGGTTACATATATTTCATGGATACAAAAATAAAAAAGAAAGCAAGAGAAAATTGAATATAGGTGGGATTTAGGATAATAGTTACTTCAGATGGGGAAGCAGAGGAATGAATTGGTGGCGAGGACCATTTGGTTAGAAGCAGGTTATCGTCAGGGTCCTAGCTTTTGTTTTGGGTGGTAGGTTTGTGGGGTCCTTGTTACATTACTGAAAATAATTGGATAATTAAATACAGGGAAAAAAATAAGCCTAAAGGGCCTAGGGTTCCCAAGGTGAAGTAGAGATCCTTGCTCACATGGACCTGAGTGCTTTGGTTGTCTGTTTCGTTTGTTTTTTTTAAGAGGTAGCACTCTGAATCCTGGAACAAATGCTTTGTAGTTAAAAGTCATAAAAAATATGTTGCTCTAAAGTTAACAAACGAAATGTTTTAGGTGTGATTCATATATGGATACGTATCATATGCTTTATAGAGTATTTAGTGCATAAATATTTCTAGCTATTTCTGTTCTTTCATAGAAATTTTACATGTTTTTTCCCTTTCTTAGGACAAAGTTAAACTATAATCCTCCAAAAGATGATGGATCAACCTATAAGATTGAACTTGAAGGGATATCGGTAATGGTTATGAGAGAGATCCTGGATTACATCTTCAGTGGGCAGGTATGATGAGACACAGAGGAAGGAGGACTGAGTAGAGGCTCCTCAAGCTCAGGGTGAGGGTCTCCTTCATCCACTCTGTGACTGAGTAACACCGCCATCTCCATCTTCTGTCACTGTGTGCTTGACTTGGGTCTCCTCCTGGACATGGCACCCAAGGGTGTTCTTCCGGGGCTCTGCCCTTGAAGGAAAAGCAGACTAAGTAAGATCTTACCCAAATCCCAGGTTTTGTTTCTACCGTCCTGAGCTCCACCTTTCAGTCTGAGACATGAGGAACATGGGATGCTCCCTTCGCTGCTGTCTTTTTGTTTTTTAAATCTTCATTCCAGCCTTGCTTTGTACCCACACTATCGGGGAACTCGTTCTGTCTCCACAGCATGGACTTGGGAGCCTCCTTGGGCGGTGGGGATTATTCTGTAGAAATAAAGACTTCGAGATTCACACCAGTGACAGGCACGTGCATCGTACTCATGATGCCTCCGTCCTGTTGCCTCAGGAGGACCAACATCCCTGTTCCCCCACATTCTTTCTTTCTGATTTCCCTTTAATCTCTGTACCCATTTATATTTCTGGGGATTTCATGAAAACCAAGGAAGAAAGTGATCAGTGGCTAGTGGTCCTTTCCCTTTCTTTGCCCTCCTCCACCCCACTACTCCCCTGTTGATGTGATTTAAAGTGTATAGCATGAGGACTCTTAAGGATAATCTTGGGCGTGAATTAGGAAGAAGTTCATGTGCCTCACATCTCATTACGCAAGAGTACGTTTTATCTTTACTCCTTTTGAGGGCTCATGTCCTGCTCTCTCCTTTATTCCTTCTTCCTCATCCTTCTTTTAATTTTCCTTTTGTAAAGGCTCTGTCTCCTACATAAGTATTCTGAGTGTACTGCTTACTTTCTCTAAATATGTTCATTCTGTCCAGAGTCAAACTCGGTGATCGTCATCCTCTTTGAAGTTTTTTTATTTCATTTCATGATGTTATCACTTTCTCTTTTCTCTGAACACTGGGTGGTGGGTGTGTGGAAATAAGGTTATGTGTATGATTATTAAAAATAAATGAATTTAAACCAATTTGGGGACAGCCCTTAAAATACTGGCAATACTCTTTAGCATCACAAAACCAGGCTTAGGTCCAAACTCTTATCTAACTTGTAAAATCAGTTCAGTGGCAGTTATAACAAGTTAGAGGAGTGTATTCATGTTCAGGCTTGCATTGGAAACTTGAAACCTTATTTATCTATGGTACAGAATGTGCAAATTGTGGTAAAATGTTCCTTGCTGCACTTCACTGTGAAATCTCTCCTTAACGCTTCCTAATGGAGGATAAATACCCATTCTTTCGGAGAGTCTGGACCGTTCGTGATTGTGACAGTATTTTAGGGGCCTGTTTCTTGATGTTGCCTTACTGTTGCGTAGAAAAACCATGAAGTGGGTGGAGGAAGAAGCATCAGTCAAGAAATTGAAGAAAATTAAGGGGAAGTAAATGTTCACAATGATTAAAAAAAAAAAAATCGGGCTTCCCTGGTGGTGCAGTGGTTGAGAGTCCGCCTGCTGATGCAGGGGACACAAGTTCGTGCCCTGGTCCGGGAAGATCCCACATGCCGCGGAGCGGCTGGGCCCGTGAGCCATGGCCGCTGAGCCTGCGCGTCCAAAGCCTGTGCTCCGCAACAGGAGAGGCCACAACAGTGAGAAGCCCGCGTACCGCAAAAAAGAAAAAAAAAAAAATCTTCTTAGGGATTTATTCCAGAAAGTAGCTTTGAGACCAAATTGTATCTTTTGCACCAAATGCAATGTTTGGTGTTCAGAATGAGGCCTCATGGGCAGTGTGGCTCTCCCTCTCTTCAAGGGTCCGTGTGGTATCTTCCACGTACCATTTGGCAAAGAAGTGAACTTAATGTATTTGGAGGCAGGATTTTCATTAGTTCAGGTGCTAGCATTTAAAGAAATCGCCTTCAGTTTGCCATAGAATGCGGGACTTGCCATTTCCTAAGCATTTCAGTCATTTGAGGTTTTTCTCTAAGTATAGAAGCGAGCCCCATGGACAGTTCACCTTGGCAGGGATATTGGTGGTTCATCTCGGTAAAGGAAGGGAAGAGCTGGGAAAAGTTAATCAGCCACGCGCTGCCTATGTTGTCCGCAGGTGCCTTGGTGCCCTCGGACTGTTCTTGAAAACAAAGCTGAACCGTATGAAATTGCTAGTTTTCAATCATCTTTGACCTCTACAAATGGAGCTTTCATATGGTCCAGCCTGATAGATAAGTGGTTGCGTTCTAAATATATACATTCAAACATAGGCTATCTATGATCATTCTTACAGATCCGGCTGAGCGAAGATACTATCCAAGATGTTGTGCAGGCAGCAGACCTGCTCCTGCTGACGGATCTTAAAACTCTCTGCTGTGAGTTCTTAGAAGGCTGCATTGCCGCCGAGAACTGCATTGGAATCCGAGACTTTGCACTCCACTACTGCCTGCACCACGTCCATTACCTGGCCACAGAATACCTGGAGACTCACTTCCGAGATGTCAGCAGCACAGAGGAATTCCTAGAACTGAGTCCTCAAAAGCTTAAAGAAGTGATTTCTCTTGAGAAGTTAAACGTTGGCAATGAACGATATGTATTTGAAGCAGTCATCCGATGGATAGCACATGATACAGAAATAAGAAAGGTACCCGTACTTTATAGCGTGCTCTGACTTTGCCTTTTCACTTATTTATTCATTTGTTTGTTTATTTTTAATCCAAATTCTAGATGTTTTATTTTTCTCCTCCAACTTGAAAAACTGACACGGTTGTGATCTAAACCATAACCTGGAAAACATCTTCCTATAGCCTCACTAAAGCAGTTTGTTGTTAAGACCAGTCTACCAAAGTCCATGTAACTCATCATATAGCAATGAAAATAGTAATACTTACAAGTCACGTGATGTCCTTTGAATGTTGTTATTAAGGGGAAAGGGATTTCAAGCTAAGCTGGAGAGTATAGAAATGCACCCTATACTCCTCATCCTAGCTTTCAGCATCCTTCCCTCTGCGATGGTGGGCTAACCCCTACAGGGACTCTGATGCAGGAAGTGGGGTGAGAAAAGAATGGAATTCTGGCAGAGGGCTGAATTCTGGCACTGAGCTCTCCCTGGAGTGACTGACACCACTGGAGGAGAAGGTGGGAGAGCATTCCGGAGCTTTCATGGCAATGAGGTTCCAAATGGGAAGGTTCTAGGAGTGACAGCCTAGGAAGGAAGGGTCTTAGAGAATATCAGGCTTGAGATCCACATTGTTAATACATTGGGGGAGGGAGCTCTCACCTCTAAATCACAAGGCTTTAAGTCTACTATTTATATACTAGAGGCTAGCTCCAGTTACTATATCAAAATAAAGAAATATATTAGGTTTCAGAGTGGCTTTCAGAATGCATAATTGCATTGTTAATTGTTCTTAGTAACTCTTGGCTTACATTTTAATGATTATCTTGTAATTTTTAAATTCTGCAGGCCCATGAGCATGTCCACTTAGAAACCACATTCGTAGCTTCAGCTCCTTAGTACAATTAGTGTTCTGTTTTCCCCATTGGTGGGGTAGATTGGGAAAGGGGATAGAAGAGTTTCCACCTTGCTGCCACCACTGAAGTATCTTCTCTCTGACCCTCTTCTTGCCTTAAAATGATGAGGGCATATAAGATGGAACGGCTGCTGGGAAACAAGAGGCCGTTCCTCATCCTGTGGTTAATCTGAACTTGGTGCTGTAAGGACTGTTGGCTTTTATTACTCAGGGTATAAAAGAGTGTGCCTTAAAATGACAATTTTAAAGCCCAGAAAAACTAGTCACCTTATGTACGTAGAGTGCTATAGTCAGTTGGTTCAAATCTGATGATTGAGTATGAAAAGTATATCATTCAGGGACTTCCCTGGTGGTCCAGTGGTAAAGAATCTGCCTTCCACTGCAGGGGACGTGGGTTCGATCCCTGGTCGGAGAACTACGATCCCGCATGCCGCGGGGCAACTCAGTCCGCACACCACAAGTAGTGAGCTCACGTGCCTCAATGAGAGAGCCCGCGTGCCACAAACTACAGAGAGAAAACCCTCACGCCACAACTGGAGAGAAGCCCACATGCCGCAACTAGAGAGAAACCCTAGCAGACTGCATACCGTAATGAAAAGATCCCTCATGCCTCAACAAAGAGCCCATGGGCTGCAAATAAGACCTGACGCAGCCAAAAAATAAATAAATAAATAAGGAAAATAAACAAGTAAAATGCATGAATATTTTTTTAAAAAGTATATCATTCACATTATACATGTTAGATAATTTTTAACAGTAATTACTGAAGAAATGATTATATAGTACTCAGGATTTTTTTTTTTGAAATTTGGCTTTTTCAGATTTTTCTTGTAACGTTAATGTTGATACATGTTCATTATCTAGTTGACCATATTGTATCAAGCTATTCCTGTATATGACGTTTCTATAAATGTGATGTAACTCACAGCACATCCAAGCATGTGAAATAAGGCAAATCATAGCAGGGTTCTTCTAAGTTTTCCTGTTGCTGTGGGAACCCTGTAGGGCATTAAAGAAAGTTGCTTAAAACTTCGCAGTGATACATCAAATATAAATCTGAAGTGATGGTTTTTTTTAAGTTAAACTTTTATTTATCAAGGCCAAGGGAAGTAGAAAGAAAAAGGGCCGTAAACACATTCAAGCAGTACTGACCCTTACCACTTGCCTGTTGATAATCTGACTGTCAATAATTTTAGTCTTCCAGGAGTGGGAAAACGTATCTTCTAAATGTACAACGTATTCTCCATTTTTCCTCCCCGTGCTTTCCGCCCTCCAGGTCCACATGAAGGATGTCATGTCAGCGCTGTGGGTTTCAGGGTTGGACTCAAGCTATTTACGGGAGCAGATGCTGAATGAGCCGTTAGTCCGAGAGATTGTCAAAGAGTGCAGCAACATCCCTCTCAGCCAGCCGCAGCAGGGTGAGGCCATGCTCGCCAGCTTCAAGCCCCGGGGCTACTCGGAGTGCATCGTGACTGTTGGCGGAGAGGAAAGAGTGTAAGCGTGGCTGTGAGCGGTTTGATGGGTGGTGGTGTAAGGGAAGAGAGATTTCCACGTAAACAGAAATTTATAACACTTTTCAGTATCTAAAGCCTAATAGCAATAGATTTTTTTAAATGTCTGAAACATTCTTTAGCGTAGTAAAACTAGTCCTAGTTATTATAAGCAGAAGTACATAAAACATACTAACTACTAATCAGTTATCTCTCTCCTTAGTTCGCGGAAGCCAACAGCAGCGATGCGATGTATGTGCCCCCTTTATGACCCTAATCGGCAGCTGTGGATTGAACTGGCCCCTTTAAGCATGCCGAGAATCAACCACGGAGTCCTCTCAGCAGGTACCGTGCTGTCATCAAGTTTACCCAAACACAAGGTCAAGTAATGTCATTTCAGAGTTGTGCAGAATGACTCAAAACCTTTTCAAGAAATAATTTTATTATCCCTCTGTGGTGACTTTTTCAGGGTGGCTCTAGCTTCCAAGACTATGGTAAGAAGAGTGTCTTCCGTCAGTCCTTATCGTTCCCAAATCTTAAATACGTAGCTGTTTTTAAGATGTCCCTTGAGGAGCATTTTATTGGATGACTTAACTGATAGAAGAGCAAAACTCAGTGACTCTTACCACCCGTTAGCTGGATGATCACACCTGAGGCGCAAGACTTCTTTGAGCCGTGATAGCCTCTCATCTTGGAAAGTTGTGCAGTTCAGAATCGCAACATGGAACTATATTCAAAATAAGAGCGTCACATAAAAGCAGGCATCTCAGATGAAACTTGAGAAGATACTGCTTAACTTAGCTCTGGCTTAAAGTTGTCTTATGACAGGAAGTATGTTTCGGTTGACGTTTACAAGTTTGGAACGTTATTCAAAGCTTTCTCTCCAGGAAGTGATGGGGAAGGCTGTCCTTGCTGCCTTTCTCTTCACCTTGGATTTGCCTTGCTGGCTTCATCCTGCAAGTGCCATTTCACTTCATTCTACCTATTGTTAGCAGTTCTTTGTTTATAGTCTCTGCTTGCCCACAAACATTACCTTAAAAGTTTTAAGCTATGCCACACTGTACCATATTTTAGATATACCTAAAGCTATGGAATAGAAATGGAATCGTAGGTTCCACAATTATTGAAGTTTTTGTCAATGATAATCAGCTGGATGGAGTGGTGTAGGCAACAGGATGTGGGTCTGATTTCTCTGTTCCTTCTTAAAATTAGCGTCCTTAAGTTGTCCTACCATAATGTGTATACATGTGCATAATTTTCACACATGCACACCTACCACAAAGGTTCCTATATCACTGATTTTCAGATTTCCTAGAGAGGTGGTTGTTTCAGAAACTTGAAACAATGAGGAGAGGAATTGTGCCCAGTTGTATTCATTGAAGTTGTGAAATGACTGAGTAGTTCCTATTTGTCCAGCTCATTCTGTGTTTCTTCTTCCCTTGCCTTTTTTCAAAAAATTGATTGACTTTTTTGTCATTCGGTTTTTTCCCTCTCTACCAGGTTAGAAGTTATATTCTATGTCTATATTCCTTTGAAGGTCACTTTATGTTTGTTTTGTTTTGTTTTTTTAATATTTACTTATTTATTTATTTGGTTGTGTTGGGTCTTAGTTGTGGCAGGTAGGTTTCTTGGTTGCTGCTCACAGGCTCCTTAGTTGCCGCTCACCAGCTCCTTAGTCGTGGCACACATGTGAGATCTAGTTCCCTGACCAGGGATCGAACCTGGGCCCCCTGCATTGGGAGTGCGGAGTCTTAACCACTGCTCCACCAGGGAAGTCCCCTGAAGGTCACTTTTGAATCCACAGCCTGTACTGTTAACAAAGTCTAGTAGTATAAATAGTACATCTATACTCTTATTTTTCATATTCCATAGTCTTACAGTATTAAAACACATAGTTATTTATAAGTAACTATTTATGTATATATGTTTATCTGTTTTATATACATATCTGTAGATAGTGTTCATTTAGATTTATCCACATATTTACCACTTTCTTTGTTTTTCCCTCTTACTCCTCAAACTTTCCATCTAGGACCATTTTCCTTCTCTCTGAAGTTCATCCTTTTGAATTTCCTTTAATGTGGGTCTAGTGGTAGCAAACTCTTAGATTTGTTTGTCTAAAGATGTCATTATTTTGCCTTCATCCTTAAAGGATATTTTTGCTGGGTATAGAATTTTAGGTTGGCATCTATTATTGAAGATGATTTTCCGCTGACTTCTGTCATTCCTGTTTTTAAGTCAGTTGTCAGATCTAAAGTTCTGCCTTTTCTCTGGGCTGTATTTAAGATTTTCTTTTTGTCTTGATTTTTCTGCCATTTCACTCTAGTGTGCTAAGGCAACATTTTATTTGAAATTTTACCATATTTGGAGACTGTTGGGCATCTTGACTCCGTAGCTTGGCCTTTCATCAAATCTGGAAACTTCTTGTTTGTTATGTCTTCATATGTCATCCTTGCTCCTTCTCTGTCTCTGCTTTTGGAAGTCAGATCAAACATGGCTAGACCTTTCTACTCCAGCCCCTGCCTTCTGCCTTCTTTTTGTTTTCTTTTTCATCTTTTTGCTTCTCCATGTTGCTCTGTGATTTCTTTTGATTTATCTTGCACTTAATGAATTCTCTCTTTAACTGTGATGGATCTGCCATTAAATCCGTCCATTGAATTTTTTATTTAATCTGTTTTTTATCTTTTTTTCCCTAGAAATTCTCTGTAATTTTTTTTCAAATCTACTATGTCACTTCTCTTGTCCCTTCTTCTAGAGTTACCTTCACATCTGTCTTTTTTAAAACATAGTGAGCATTGTTGTTTTATTGTCTTTCTGATTACTCCAATATTTGAAATTTGGAATCTTTGCAAGACTACTCCCTATGGTCTGCTTCTGCTGTTTCTTCTTAATAGAGTCTGGTTTCTTTGTATACCTGAGTATCTTTGGCTGAGTGCCAAAGATTGTTTTATTAAAAATTATTTGTAGGGGGCTTCCCTGGTGGCGCAGTGGTTGAGAGTCCGCCTGCTGATAGAGGGGACATGGGTTTGTGCTCCGGTCCGGGAGGAACCCACATGCCGTGGAGCGTGAGCCTGGGCCCGTGAGCCATGGCCGCTGAGCCTGCACGTCTGGAGCCTGTGCTCCGCAACAGGAGAGGCCACAACAGTGAGAGGCCCGCGTACCGCAAAAAAAAAATAATAATAATAATTATTTGTAGGGATAATGTGATGTTTTAAAATCTTAGAATGTTAGAATCTAAAACTTAGATAAACATACTTTCTTCCATAGAACTTTTGTGTGTTTTTCTGCCAGTTGCCTGAAAACACTACTAATTTGTAATTACTGTAAATCGAATTCCAATTTTGAGATTTCCTAGATAAGCAAGGAGATTTAAATCTGGCTTCTAATTCTGGTTGGCCTTCATCCTGATGGTTAGAACTTCAGCGAGGCTTTCCTGCCAGAAGCCACACCGTCTGTGGGCCTGGGATTTAGATTTCTATCTTCTTCATCCCCTCAAAGCCATTAAGAGAAAGGTTGCATTTTTCCCAGATTGCTAAACGCCCTCAGAGCAAAATGGTTTCCATGCATGGTAACCTCTCTAGGGCCCACATTTCCCTTCCCTTTTACCATAGTGTCTTGTTGGCTTCTTCTCCTTTAAGAAGACTATTTTAAATAGAGTCTGGGGAACAGAACAGATGAACTGAGATAACTCGAAGTCACTTGCTGACCGGGTGGGTGGTGTCAGTTTTCCTCCTAAGGTGCAGGGTCGTGGGAATCCCCTCAGAGATCGCGAGGCAAGCGAAGTGGTCAGAGTGACTCACAGATCTGGCTCTGTCACCCAGGCTTGGTAAGGTCTCGAACCCGTTGTTGTCAGAGAAGGTATCTCCACATCCTGTCTCTGCCCTTACGGCATTTGTATTTGACTAGAGATGGGTGTTGAAAACTTACATTTCAACTTCCTTGCATGTCTTCTTTGATTTTTTGCAGAAGGATTTTTGTTTGTATTTGGGGGCCAAGACGAAAATAAGCAGACCCTGAGCTCAGGAGAAAAGTATGACCCAGATGCAAACACATGGACCGCACTGCCACCAATGAACGAGGTAAAATACTGCTTTTGTAATTTGTCTGATGTTTCTTTTTTCCCTTTAGCACTTTTGTTTGCTTTGCGTTTGAGTATAAGGAAAGAGGTAGCAGCCTCACCAAGCCCCCCTGCCTGGTACGCTCGTGCCCCCCTCCCGGCTCTGCTCCCTGTGCCTTCCCTCGCTCCCCCTTCTGAAGCCTCCTAGGAGTGCACTTGCTTTGGGACCTTTGCCAGGTACCCACGTGGCTCGCCGCTTGCTTCCTTCAGTGTTTGTCCGTAAGGCTCCTTCTCAGCGAGGCCCCCCGCCGCCTCTCAGCTCTCCTGCCCCCTCCCCTGCTTTCCTTCTCTTCATACCACATAGAACCTCCTCACACACTAGATCTTTCTCAGCGGTTCGCACGAGCTTTTTGATGATGGCAGCGCATTTCGTTTGTGTGGTCAGCGCTCTCCCTTCAGCGCTGGAGTGGGGCTGGGCGCCCAGGAAGTGCTGTGAGTGTATGAGTGTGAAACACATCAGGTTCTGTTGCTCCAGGCAGCCTTAGCCCGGGCCTCTCGCCCTCCCACCCCCACCTCTCCAGCCACAGGCAGTGCTGTTGACGTGGATCTTACTTGACTTCACACGTCAGCTGGGAACCACTTGCTGCCCACTGCTGTACAAAGATCATTTTACAGAGCCACACGGTAATAGTTCTCTTTCTTGTCGTGAGCTGTTGTGAGTAAAAAGTAAGGATTCTGCCAGTGAATTCACCACGTGTGTAGTTCCCTTGTTCCGGGAAATTCCTGGACTTGGGTTCTCTGTCTATTGTGATAGAAGAGTGAGCTGCTAGGGAAATCAGAAATATTTGAGAGAGATGGTTTTGAGCCTGGTATTTCTTTGCTGGAACGCTGGAATATAATAATATCTGTAATATTTATTAAATGTATGAATATCAGCTTTCAATCTGATAGTTGGCCTTTTGTCTACAAAGATCTTTGATGTCTTTTCAGGCAAGACATAACTTTGGAATTGTGGAGATAGATGGGATGCTGTACGTTTTAGGAGGAGAAGATGGTGAAAAAGAGCTAATTTCCATGGAATGTTATGATATTTATTCTAAAACCTGGACAAAGCAACCCGCTTTAACCATGGTTAGAAAGGTGAGAACGATATCTTGTGATAACTAATTCACAAATTGGATTTTAAAGTTATGTTTCTTCATTTCCTACGTATGCCTTTTAACACGACTGATAGTGTTAAAAGAATTAACATGATAGAATTCTGTCTTTGTGGGTAGCTTGCCTTCACTATTACTAGCCACACACCAAGCTAGGAAACGGTGTGTGAGAGCGTTTACCTTGGCAGTGGGCTCTGGGCAGCGCTGCTGTGTCCAAGGCCCACGCCTGATAAATGCTTTGTGACTGCACTAACCTAGGAAGGAACCAGGTCTCCCAAACCTGTTTTCTTAATCATTGTGCAGGACTGGGGAGAAACATTAATCCATAGGTAGAGAACTGCCATTGCTGAGTAGGATGAAAACAAATGGCTCATGTTAGCTGTTTACAGCTTAGTCTGTATTTCTTTTCCCTGGTGGAGGCTGGAGTTCCATCATCAGGCCAAAGCCTTGTCCAGCGCCCTAGGTATTTTACACCATGGGTACCGGGATTTACTCATAATATGATCTCTCACCGTCTGTGCCCTTCCGACTGACTTACTTGGGGCAGGAATTGAATGATGTCTTGCTCCAAGGAGTCCACATCTGGGACTCTTGAAATAGTGGTGAGAACAGAGAGCCTGGGAAGCCTCTTTAAAAGTTAGGATTATTTACTCACTTAGCGGAATAGTATTAGATGGAGTTAATCCTTTTCTGAGGATTAACAGTGTGTGTATTACCTTGCTCTTCTCATTTTTAAAAGCCTCTGTTGTAATATTGGAAGGCACCATACATAGTCTTACTATTAGAAGTCAGATCCTTTTCCAGATATTTGCCAGTGCTCTCTAGACAAGCTGGTATTTACTCGCCCAACTTTAATAATAAATGTTGCCTCCCCCACTGTTGCTTTCTCCTTTCAGATTGGCTGCTATGCAGCTATGAAAAAGAAAATCTATGCCATGGGTGGAGGATCATATGGAAAACTCTTCGAGTCTGTGGAATGTTATGACACACGGACCCAGCAGTGGACCGCTATCTGTCCACTGAAAGAGAGAAGGTGAGAGAACTTGGATAAGGACTGTGCAGAGCCCCCTTCACCTGGCTTTTGTTTTTCCCTTCTTTCCAGCTAATCTTTTATTTGACTTGGCATTTGGTTGATATAACATTACATTAATAAGCCATTTCCTGAAAAAGGAAGACCCATGTATTTGTGCAACGTTGAATGGCGCAGAGCTAAAACAAGCGTAAGAGGAATTATGGAATCGGGTCATGAGTTGTAAATCTAATACCTGGTATGCCCTATGTGGCCTTTCAGGTTTGGAGCTGTAGCCTGTGGAGTCGCCATGGAACTGTATGTATTTGGGGGAGTCAGAAGTCGTGAGGACATCCAGGGGGGCGAGATGGTAACCTGCAAGTCGGAATTCTACCACGATGAGTTTAAAAGGTATTTATGAATGGTTTCATGCGGCTTCTGCAACTTTTTCTTTATGCTTTCAAAGGCATGTTTTGCTTTGTTTAGTTTTGTTTTCAAATTATTTCATTGAATTTATCTATTTATGTCTAATGCATAGTAGATATTTATTCAGTGACTTCGGAAATCTTGGTAACTCATAGGAAAGCCATAGAAGAATGTTTCTAAAATGTAGATCAGACCTTGGCACTTCTGATAGCTTTTAGGAGAAAGTTTAAACTCCTTAACTTAGCAGATATGGCCTTTTGTGATTTGGCCTATGTCTACTGTTTCTGCTACTGTTCAACCCAGATGCGTCACTTGAGTCCCACTGAGTGACTTTTTTCCTCCAAAACGTGGTGTGATTGTCTCAGCTCTGTGCTTTTTTTTTTTTAACATCTTTATTGGAGTATAATTGCTTTACAATGGTGTGTTAGTTTCTGCTTTATAACAAAGTGAATCAGTTATACATATACATATACATATGTTCCCATATCTCTTCCCTCTTGCGTCTCCCTCCCTCCCACCCTCCCTATCCCACCCCTCTAGGTGGTCACAAAGCACCGAGCTGATCTCCCTGTGCTATGCGGCTGCTTCCCACTAGCTATCGGTTTTACGTTTGGTAGTGTACATATGTCCATGCCACTCTCTCACTTTGCCTAGAGTCTGTCATACAGAGTGAAGTAAGTCAGAAAGAGAAAAACAAATACCGTATGCTAATGCATATATATGGAATCTAAGAAAAAAAAAAAGGTCATGAAGAACCTAGGGACAAGACAGGAATAAAGACACAGACCTACTAGAGAATGGACTTGAGGATATGGGGAGGGGGAAGGGTAAGCTGTGAGAAAGCTCTGTGCTTTTGTACTATTCTCTTTGCCTAATATTTCCCTTCCCATGTTTATCCAGTTAATTTGGCCTCTTCCAAAACTCTGCTTAATCATCACTGCCCAGAGAAAGCCTTCTCACACCTCACAGTCTGAGTCAGGCTCCTCAGTCTGGGATCCTATACATCTCTCTCGGATGTGATAGAGGTAACGGAAGCTCCTTCAGGAGAAGTTCCAGCTCAGCTTTGGGTCCTAGCTTCTGGCATCATACCTGGCCAGTGTCAGACACTCAGTAAACGTGGTGTCAGAGATTCTTAAAACATCTGAAAGGCTGCCATATGTCTTGTAAAGTAGGCAGCATCCTTCCAACCCCCTCACTTCCCTCCTCTGACACGTTATATTGTTGTAGCCACCAAACAGTATTGTTATTGCAGTAATATGTTCAAATCCTACAGGGAAACTGCCCTGCTGAAGTTAATCTTGTGATAGCATTTCAACTGTGTTACCAGAAGGGGGCGCCAGAATATAATGTTCAAGTTCATACTATTTTAGATAAGGGCAAACAATGAGCGGTTGCCAAGATTTTAGAAATATGTATAAATGTTACCTAACTATTAGTGTATTTTAAAGTTAGGATATTTGCATAGCCTTTTCCCCCCCTTTTTCCTTCAATTACAGGGAGCAAACAGTCTTAGGAAAATTTACTAGACAACGTGTGAGAGCAGTTTGAGAATGCTTGCTCTGGTAGCGGTGGGGGGCAGAATTTCAAGGACTTTGCTACACTTCTCTTCCATAATATGTTACTGCAAGGGCTGACTGTTCAAGGTATGAAGTAGTTTATTAATTTCTTGCCCAAATGAATCCCAAAACAGTGTGCCCAACCTCATTAACAAGCAGTGGTCAGTACGTTTGGTTTCTGATAAAATATTGTTATAAGCCTTTGTCATAATGACTGAATTACTGTTTGGACAGTGTGAGCTAGAGAGCTATAAACTCGCTTGCTGAAGTAATCAGGGTTGCTTATGGTTTTACCATTTTCTGTCCCTATTTTGATTGTGTAGGACTTAAATCTGGCTGTAAAGTTTTTTATCTGCCCTTGATATGCTAGCAATTATTAGAACCTTTAGATTTCTGTCAGGTTGTCTCATATTAATATAGTTGAGAAGCTTCAGATATGAGTATATTACTTGCTTTCAGTTCATAATTGTTAAACGTGAGTATTGCTTCTTCCTTGCTGTTTAAAAGCACTTCCAGATAAAATCTGTATTATCTTTAGTTTGCTTATATTCAAGCTTTCCAGTGTTGATTCACAAACAGAATGAAGAAAGCTTAACTTCTGTTGATATATAGGATTCTAGTTTAGATAACAGTAAACATGCATATAACACTAAGTGCCGTGTATTAACTCATTTAGTCTTCAAAACAACCCTCTGAGATATAGTTACTCTTTTTATTCCTATCTTGCATACGAGGAAACCAAAACACAGAGAGGTTAAGTAATGTGCCCCAAAACACACAGGTAGCAGGTGGCAGAGCTGGAATTTGAACTCAGGCCCCAGAGTCCACATTTTCAGCCACCACACAATATTGCCTTAAAAATATAGGCTTTCCCATAAATACCTATAGAAGGGAAAAAAATCTATAAGTAGTTTATTTCTTTAAAGATCAGATGTTTCCAAGTGTGTGATATTTGCATACTCTGGAAACTGTTGCCAGATGAACAACCTGCATTAGATTGGAGACCATTTACTGTTTTTAAGTAATCTCTTGTCTTTCCTGTCTTTGTTCCCTATTTTTAGGTTAAAACTTTCCTGGAAAAATGCCATATCTTACTATTTTCTGTGTTTCTGACTAAAAACAAAACTATGTGAAGGAAAGCAAAAAAAAATTGCCATTATTTCTACTAAGTCATGGCAACAACTTCATATATCCAGAAAGACAGTACCTCTATTTCTGTTCCTTGAATCCCTGTTCTTTTACTCGTACTACCATCCTCCCAGTGGTCCATATTCAAAATAAGGTCATCTTTGATTCTCTCTTATGCTTCACATCTCATGAGTTGCCAAGTTTTTTCTTTTTTCTTTTTTTTTTTAAACTCTGTAGTATTTTTCACACATCCCCCCACCCTTTATTTTTCTGCCCTGACTCCAGTGAGCTCACTCTTTTATATGTGCAAAGTCTTCTAACTAGTCTCTCTAATACATTTCACCTACTTGTGCTTTTAAAAGATTAATCTGACGTTGGCCATTTCATTGTGATGGAAATTCTTCCTGTTTCCCCATTGCTTACCAAGTAAAGATAATAGTATTTAGTCTCCTACTCGGGGCCCTCCACGATCTGAGGTTGAGAAAAATGTTGAGCCTTTTTCGCTTTCTCCTTTTCACATGTTCTGTACTCCAGCTCACTTCTTATAGCCATCCTGTGTTTTATTGTCTCTGTGCATTTGCTCAGCCGAGATGCCCTCCCCCTCTCATTTTTATATTATAGGTAAATCATGTTAACTATTCTTTGAAGCCTACATCTGTCAGTTTCATCTTTTGATGCCTGAATGTATACTTGGACAGACGTCTTTGACCACTGGCTGAATCCCCTGTGGTTCTCTGACTTGTGGGTAAGGGACCATTATGGTAGCAAGGGTTAAGTGGAAGTCACTGGAACTTTCCTTCCCTGCCGAGATAGAAAACCAGAAGCAGTACTGCATCCTGAGGAATGTGCAGACATTTGTGCCACCGTCAAAGACTTGAAAATGCAAGAGTCGTGCTACGTATCATATCCCCACTTAATTCACTTAGAAAACGTAGAAAAGTCAAGTGGATTTTGGAAAATAACCGTGAGCTTTCCTAAACTTAAGCAGGTGATTAAGCTGATCACAGACTCAGTCCTGCGGGTGGGGTCTTTATGCAGCACAGTCCCTGGCCTTGGTGCCGCTGTTGCCTTAGCTGACGCCTTCTCTTCACACCAGTCAGCAGAGACCACCAGCAGCTGTTTCTTGTACCTGGCAGGACCAGCGGTACCCCTGTACAGTGTTGCCTCAGGACTGTGTCAGTTTTGCCGTGTGCAGTATATTATTAGCCCCCAGAGATTTTGATCACCTTGGTGTGCCGTACTGCATTGGTCTGCCCCGTTGACCATGTTATGCTGTTTGGGTCTGAGGCTTAGGAAGTAGCACATACTACAGATGCCTTTGTAAGACACGTGAGCAAGAGGATGGGAGATGAACGCTGCTCCTAGCCAAATCCGCTTCAGTCATGGTCCAGCCAGGAGACAGAAACCACCTCGTAATCTGCAGGGGAGATTTAATGTACATAATTATTAACTAGGAAGAGTAGTTAGCTGCTGACAGGTGAGAGAGTGCAGAAACAGCCGATGAAGGAAGCGCGACTACAGCCTTTAGGGCTGAGGGACAGTGCCCCAGGAAGGAGCAAACTGGGAAGAGCCCTCCCTGCCCCGCAAGGCTAGATTTACCTCCATGGAGGAGGGTGTGCAGTGGCCCCAGACGTGGCAGGGCCCTGGGGTGCCAGGGCCAGAGCTGGTGCGTGGAAGCTGCCTGCTGGCTGGCAAAGGACCACCCTGAGGGAGAGCCACTCTGGTCCCCCGGCACACAGGAGGCGGCAGAGCAGATGGAGGAAGGAAAAGGCCACCGACACCAGGGAAGAAGCCCTTTCCTCTCCCCAGCCTTGCAGTCCCGCCAGCGCTCTCTGTGCTGCGCTTATCTTCTCAAAGAACCAGCCACGCATCCATGTTCATTTTCTCCACTGTGTTTTCTGTTTCATTGGTTTCTCCCCTCGTCTATATTATTTCCTTCCTTTTACTTACTTTGGGTTTATTTTGTTCCTCCTTTTCTAGCTTCTTCAGGTAGCATATTAGATTTTTAAAATTTCTCCTATCTTTTTATCATAAGCGTGTTTTCCTTTCCCTCACTGAGCATCGTTATGGTAGCTGCGTGCAGGTCCCTGTCTGGCAGATAATCGCAGCATCTGAGTCATCTCAGAGTTGGCGTCTGTTGATGGTTTATTTCCTTGCAAAGGGGTTTTCATTTTTCTGGCTCTTTTGTTGAGTAATTCTGGATTGTGTCGGGGCGTTGCGAACATGACATTGTTGAGGCCCCAAGGTCTCTTGCTGCTGCTTCAGAGACTTGCTCCGGGCATTTAGCAGACAGTGGACTTGGTTAGACTCACGGAGCCTCAGGTGCAAGCATTCGTGGCTCCAGTGTCAGTCAGACGTGACTCGGGTGGATGTCCGTCAGTTTAGTTCTGTACCTTCCATCTTTCTGAGACCCCCCGCACGCTTCAGTGATCCTTGTTGCCCCAAGATGCTCTCCCCTGATTCCGGTGGCCAGAAAGACGGCAGGGTTTTCTCTAGGGCTTTTGTTCCCCAGAGCTGCCAGCCCCAGGCTGCCTTCAGACGGAGCTACCAAGGAACTGGAAACTCATTCCATGTGGGTGCTTGTTCAGCTTTCAACTTCTTTCCCAAATCTGCCTGCTTCTGCCCGGTCTCCAGAGCCCTCAGGCAGTCTGTCTTTTGTATTTTGTCTGGAGTTTGTAGCTGCTTCTCGTGGGAGGCTCCGCCGAGCCCTTGCTGAAGCTCCCTCTCCCCTCCCTCTCCCCTCCCTCTCCCCTCCCTCTCTCCTTCCCACCTTCTCTCCTTCCCACCTTTTCTCCTTGCCTGTCTTACCCCTCCCTCTCTGCTCTCTGAAGCTTGCCCCATTTTAAAATTTCCTTTGAGGGAGGGGGGATTCTTAATTCTGAGTTACCAGAGGACACATCATTGTAGCCTGCAAGTCCCGAGGAGCCCATGTTTGAGAACAGTGTAATAAAGGCATAATATTGCCTTGTCCATTACAAAAATTACTGCTACTTCACGATGCCTGCTAGGTACTAGACACTGTGCAAAGTACTTTACATTGGCTGTTCCATTTCATCCTCACAGCAGACACCTGAGCTTGGTGATGGCGTCCCCACCTTACAAATGACGAAAGAGAGACTGGGTTAGCTCAGTCATCCAAGGTCAACGAGGTGAAAAATGGTAGAGAAAGAAATGCAGAAGTACATGCCATTTATACCATTTTTAAAAGCAGCAGCTAAGTATATGATCCAATTAAATTCTCATATTTTATGTACTTTGAAGCCTCAGCATTATATAAAATAGATCACACAGGATTGTTTTTCTGAAACCCAGGAACTCTGAATCACTGATCTGCTTTGGACCAAATTTGGTAGACAGTCCACATAGACCAATCTCTTCAGCTTTGTGGATTTATTCCAGGGAGGAATTATGTTGAATTCTCACCTCTACAGAATTACTGAGGAATGCCCTTGTATTCTGACGCGTTCTTTCGGTAGATGATCTAGTCGCGTATGTCTTAGTTCAGAAGAAGTACCGGCTGCCTCGTGGGCGTGCCTGCGGCCCTGTTGGTGGACTTGCTGGGAGGGTTGTATGCCTCCCCAACAGGGTCATCCTGGGAGTGGCTCAGCTGCAGACACGGCAGGGGGATGCTCATCGGCTTTGTTTGATTCAGGACCTGGGAAGAATTGAAATGTCGAGGTTCAGTTATTTATGTTTACTTAGCCTTGAAGACATAAAATATGAACAAACCAGTTGTTGTATTTGACATTTTTCCAACTTTTTCTTTCAAAGGCCTGTTCGGGTCCCCGTTTTCACTTTGCATTGAGAGCTCTTAGATGTTTCCCTTTTCCTGTTTATCAGAGGCATCTCGGAGGCAGGGGCCAAACTGAACTCCCAGTCCCAGCAAACTGCTTGATTCCAATCAACTTTTAGATGTTCGAGGAATCGGATGTTAGGTAAAGGTACTCAGGGGGATGACAGCTTTACAGCAGCTTTGCTTCTGAGTGGTTCCACGATCTTGGGCAAATCATTCTGCTTCTGGGTTTCTTGGGATTAAAAATATGGAAGCTACTACTTTATATAACAGTCTGGGAAGAGTGTTCATTGAAATGAAAGTGCTGTTCTTAGTGAAATAATTTTACATTTGTATTTAACATCAAGATGCTGTAGACCTTAGCCAGTGGCTTCTTGGACACTTGATGGCAGAGTTAGACACACAGGAACGGTGCCAGGGCATCTTCGTGCTCTGATGGTGAGTGGAGGCCCAGACACTGGTAGTTCTGAAGGGTTTAGATACATTTCCAAGATCTGACTGAGGTCTGCTCTGACCTGGCTATGCCTTTAGCTATTAAAGGGAAATTGTTTGGTCAGACTACCTTAAGTAAATATTATTACATAGCAGAGTCATTTGTTTTCGTTTTAAAGCAAAAAAACCCTTTTATTTTGGAATAATTTTAGACTTGTAGAAAAGTGGCAAAAATAGTAAGAGTTCCCAAAAGCTTCTCCCAGCTTCACCCAGCTTCTCCTAATGTTAACATCTTACGTACCGTAGTACAGATATCAAAACCAGGATACTCACGTAGGTACAGTATTATTAAGTAAACTACAGACTTTATTCAAATTTCACCAGCTTGCCCACTAATATCTTTTTCTCGCTGCTCCGGGATCCGATCCAGGACCTGACATGGCTTTCAGTTGTTGAGTTTCTTCGGTCTCCTTTAATCTGTGACGGTTCCTCAGTCTTTCCTCGTCCTTCATGACCTTGACACCCTTGAAGGTTATTGGTCAGTTTTTTACTAGGATGTCTCTTCATGTGGGTTTGTCTCATGACGTCTCGCGATGAGGCTGAGGTTGCGCGTTTGGGCCGGGAATCCCACAGAAGTGCTGCTGGGCCCTTCTCTGCCCGGCATCAGGGGGAGCATGATGTCGATAATGTCTCGTTACTGGTGATGCTAATCTTGACGACTTGGTTAAGGTGGCATCTTTTGGGTTTCCCCATTGTAAAGTCACTACTTTTCCCTTTGTAATTAATGAGTATCTTGGAAGAGAGAATTTGAGAATATGGGAATATACTGTTTCTCCTTAAACTTTCACCACTAATTTAGCATCATTGGTGGACTGGCCTTGCAGTAGTTATCACTGTGCTGCTTGCCTAATGGTGATTTTTCTGCTTCCCTCATTCCTTCTACCTTTGTCAGCTGGAATTCTGTAAAGAAGACCTGCCCCTTCTCCCTAATTTTTTTTTAATGTATTCAGTCATTTGTTTTTATCAGTATGGACTTACGGATATTTATTCTGTGAGTTATCTGTCCAGGACTATCATTATTCATTGTGTTGCTCCAGTTGTTCCCACCGTGGCCATTGGGAGCTACTGCATATCAGCTCCGGTGTCCTTCTGACACAACTCATCCTGTTTTAAGCTCTTCCTATGTGGCAGCGCAAGATGATCCAGGCTCATCTTGAATTTTCAGCCTCTCCTGTGGAGTCAGCCACTTCTTCATGGAGCCCTGGCTCCTTTTAGTGGCTATTAAATTGATTTTCAACAGAAGTACCAAGCAATTTAGTGGGGACAGAAATGTCTTTTCAGCAAGTGATGCTGGAACACCTAGGTATCTGTATGGGGGAGAAAAAGGACTTGACTCTTATACCTCATATCATACACAAAAGTAAACTTGAAATGTATCATAAGACCTAAGTGTAAAAACTGAAACAATAAAATTTCCAGAAATTTTAATTTAAAAAACTTTTGCAACCTTGGAGTAGGCAAAGATTTCCTAGGAGGACATAGAAAGCATGAACTATAAAAAGAAAAAAATGATAAACTGGAATTCATCAAAATTAAAAATCTCTGTTCTCAAAGTCCCCATTAAGATAATGAAAAGACAGTCTACATGCTGGGAAAAAGATTTGTGATACACATATCCAACAAAGGACTTGTATCCATGAAATAAAAAGAATCTTAAAAGTTAATAAGAAGACAGAAAAGCCAATTTGAAAAATGAGCAGATCTTTGAGCAGAAATTTCACAAAAGTAGATACGTAAAGTGTCCAGTAAGCACATGCAGAGATGCTTAGCACCCTTGGTCTTCAGGGAAAAGCACACCACTCATATGGCTAAAATGACAAAGACCGACGGTACCCGAGCTGGCAGTAATGGCGGGCAGTTGGAGTTTTCACATGTTGCTCATTGGAATGCAAAATGGCACAACACCTTGGAAAACAGTGTGGTGTTTTCCTATCAAAGAAAATACACCTTTAACCGTATAACCAAGCAATTCCATAACGTAAGCCCACAAAAGAGCTTTGCCCTCTCAAGTCCAAAATAGCTTCACTCACAATAGCCAGACACTGGAGGCTGCCCAGATGAACCTGAACAGGTGAATGGGTAACAAATTCTGCTGTACCATGTAATGGAATCCTGCTTAAGATTACAAGAAATGAGGTAACGATGAAGCCACAGCGTGGATGAACCTCCTTCACACTGTGCTGAGTGAAGGAAGCGGACTGGATAGTGCACTCTATGATGCATTATATGCGACGTTCTGGAACAGACACAACTAAGTCTTCAGTGACAGGAAGGAAATGAGTGTGTCCGCAGAAGAGGGGTGTCGGTGTCGTGCCTTGTACTGTAGGTGGCTCAGAGTTTTGTCATCTCAGTCTGCTGAGATGTCGTGGACACCCTTTGACCTCCTTCATTCTGTCCCTCTGTTTGTTCTCAGGTGGATCTATCTTAATGACCAGAATTTATGCATCCCCGCCAGTTCCTCTTTTGTGTACGGAGCTGTCCCCATAGGAGCCAGTATCTATGTCATCGGAGATCTTGATACAGGTCAGAATGTTACAGTGATCTTGTCGGAACCGTTTCCCGGTGATTCCGAGGCACGGTGTGTCACCTCTGCTTATTCTCACGGCGCAGGTACCAATTACGACTACGTGCGCGAGTTCAAAAGGAGCACGGGAACCTGGCACCACACCAAGCCCCTCCTCCCCTCCGACCTCCGCCGCACCGGGTGTGCAGCCTTACGTATTGCGAATTGCAAGCTTTTCCGCCTGCAGCTTCAGCAGGGCTTGTTCCGCATCCGTGTTCACTCACCTTGACGGGGCCGCGGCGCGGAAGCGGAGCTCCTGACCAAGCGCGCCGGGACGCGGCGCTCTGCGAGGGGACAGAGATGGCAGGCGACCCTTGCTCTGCGCCGGCCTCTGTGCGGTAACAGGAGTGGTTTTCTAACGCTTAGAAGCCTGGGCTTCCAGCTCTTGTTCGGGAGAACACGTAACTGCTGAAAAAAAACGAGGAGGAGTCAGTTCCTCCAGGAGATGTGTCCCTAGACCAACCGGGCTAGTCAGCGTCAGAGGAAAAGGGAAGTGGGAATCCGTGTCATGTAAAATCAGGAAGTTATAGCACCAAGGTGCATGTTCCCCGCGGGGAACTCACGTCTGCCTGACCGCTCTGTTCGAGTACCTGGCTTTGGTTAACAAACGAGCAAACATGCATATATCAACATATCCAAACATACCGGGGTTGCTTTTCCACTGCACTTGGAAGGAGATATTATGCCTAACTCTGCCCAACAATTTAAGGTTTGTGCCTAAAATGTTAGATTGGACTCAATGCCAGTTAGTCTCCACTTACTACTAGTTGTCCGTCCTAAGAATCTTTTTTAAACTAAATTATGATGAATTGAAACTAAGATAAAATTTCTCTTTTATGACATTCTATCTTAGTAATCCAAAGGAGTCAATAAATTAAGGAGTCAGGTGGCAGCCCTCCCATGAATTTAAAGGAAGTTGCTGACTTCTGTGTTAATTCAGATGAAGATGTGTCATGCCGTCATTTCTGGGGTTGCGAAGGATCTCATGCAGTGCCAGTCTTCCTTTCCAACTAACCAGAACTGTTTTATAAATATGAGGATATTAGTGAGTAGGAGATTTTGTAAAAGAAGGACCTGAGCCGGACAAATAATAAAGGTCTGCTATGACCAAAAAAAAAAAAAAGTCCAGAGGAAATATATAGGGATCAAAAACTTCTAAAAGTAATCTGTCTGAAAGCACACAGAGTCTTGTTTACTACTGTCTAGGATTTGAAAACGTGTCTTGGAATGCAAATCCACGTTAAGAATCTAGTCTTTGTAGCAGAATTTTCTCAATGCCGTTCACTAGTACGAGTTTCAGACAAACTACATTACAAGTAAAGGTTGGCTGGTAGAATAAACTACCTCAACTTAATTTCATTCTGTTCCTGTAGAGCAAATTAATCCTTTCCTCCTTCCCTCCCTCTCACTCCCATGTCGACCCACTCAACCCCACTCCTCAAAGGGGAAAAAGTCTGTCATTAGTGGTACTTACCTTGTAAGATATTTTGTTTTCCATTCGAATTATACCACCTTAGTGTGAAACCAAGGAGTTCAAAGTGCTTGATGACTTCATCATTTGAATTTTATGCAATATCAGATTTCTAATCAATTTAATATAGAGCTCTGCATTTCTAATTGTTTTCTACAGCTTCCCCCCCCCCTAGTATATGGCTATAAGAAGCAGCATTTAGTCTTAATGATTAATAGATGTATAAGTGTATCCTTTGGTTATAAATTTGAGAATAGGAATTTCTCCTAGAAACTTCCTACCTGGAATGTCTGTATGCTTTACCCATGCATATGAAACATCACTTGTCTTTTCCCACCCAGGAACAGTAGAAGTCAATCCAGTGCTAGAAAAGTCACTGAGCAGCCTTGTCTGTGGGAATTCTAAAGAATGTTGTGTGTGCGCATTAACTCTCCATCCTGGCAGAGACATGGGTAAGAGGAGGTACAGGGTTTTCCTCTTCTCTGTCAGAGGCACTGGGCCAGATTTGCCGGCCATTCACATAACAGTCAGATTTGACGCGTAAGTCAAAGCCAGCCTCTTTGCTTTGTGCCGTGTACCGGTCAGCAGTTGTCTGCATGCTTTCCCCAGGATACCTTGGGTGTCTTCTGATCCAAGCAAACTGCATGGCCACTGCAAAGAAAGAAAACTTTCTTGTACAACTAGATGTTAGTTTTAGAGGAAATAAATTTCTGAAAAAGTGGGTTTTCTTTGATAAAATGTCCCATACAGAACAGAACCTTGGCCTTCAGAAGCCACAGCTGAGGTATGTTAAAGTGGTAACTGATGTCCTATTAAAGCCATGACAGTCAGCAATTCTCTTTTCTTTAATTTCTGAAATTTAAAGTCCTTCCCAGGCTACGCCAGGCCTCTCCAAGGAGACAGTTCATTGTTTAGGAGTGAATGGGTCCCTGTTGCAGTATTATCAGTGCCTGCATGACTTGGTCAATTCATTTTATAAAAGTAGTTTTTTGTTGTTTTTTTTTTAATTTAGTTCATTGACACTGTAGCTGCAGAAAAAATTAGGTAACTTTTTTCAAATTAAATTTGCTGCATAATATGGGATGCAATAAACAAGAAAAGCTGCTAAGTGCCAAACTGTTATTTTACTATATAATAATATAAAAATATTACATTGAAATGTAGGCATGTATTTAGTTTTATGATATTCCAAAATTAATCATGACTTTTTTGTAAATTACAGTTACTTTAGTATCGTGAAAAAATTTTTAACTAATTTCACACAGGTTTGTGTTTTAACCATCCACTTATGCCTTGAAATACCCTTTCTTGGTAAATTTTTGATACTTCTTTTTCCATTAGGCACTTTTATCAGGTGTATATTGGAATTGGCAGCAGAAGATAGATCTTAAAATTTTAAATACAGTATCTTTGGGGGAAGTGCAATTTATTTTCATTATCCACCAACAGAAGGAAAGTTGTCTCAGCTCAGAGTAATTTAAAGTATTTCTTCTAGGCTACGGTCTAAAGTAGGTTTGTTTGTTTCTTTGTTTAACACATCCAAATACAGATTTTTTTTCAAAGATTTAAGTGTTTAATTTAAAATGAAGTTTTAAATTTTTTTGTGATCGTGCTTATATCCTGTGAGAGTAAAAGTGTGAGAGAGAGTGTGTGCGTGAGTGTGTGTATGTGTGTGATGTGACTAGCTAAGTCTGTTTGTATATGTTTAGCTTTGGAATTGTCGTTCCAAAGTACATATATTATTGTCTCCTGGTGCTTCAGATAAATTCTTGAGCCTGTGGTCCTTCAGTTTATACTACTGTGTTAACTCATGTTGAGTGTATATATTGATGTATTTGTAGTTTGTAGTAAGTTTTACTTGGCGTTTGCATTTCTTTTCTTTAGCATATTAAAAACAGTGTTAGTGTTTACCAACTCATAGTTGGTATGTTATAAAGAATTGGCCTAAGAAATTTATAAATTCCTCGTGTCTTTTACTGCTATGAGGAGTTGATAGCTGACAGTAGGCTTTTTTCAAACTGTGCAACCAGCAGAAGAGAGTATCTGGGGGATGCTGGACGGCGTGTTGCTTGCCTTGAAGTGTTCTGTTATCCTGCACGACCACTTTAATGACGGCGCTTTCTTCGGTGATGCTGTGGAAGTGCCATTTTGTCATTTATGAGTGAGGAGTCCCCTAGGCAATGCCTGGGAGATACATCCTTTATATCGATGTGGTAAAGACAGGGCTCCTTTGCTGTGGCGCTGCAGTTACTCAGGGTAGCAAGTTAGGTTTTTAGAGAAATGTGTTAGCTGCTTAGGTCCTTTGGGGTTCCGTTTGGTGTGTTCCTGCTTCATTACGCCAAACCAGGGATCTCCAGAAGTTTTCCGAGGAGCATTAAAAACACTGCGGTATTACCTTCCGGAATGTTGTTTTTCTTGATTCAAGAGGAGGCTGCCTGTGATCAGGTGAAGACATGTGATTATCCGGGGAAAGAATGAGGCAGCACTTTCACCACATCAGTTTTGAAGGTGCTGGAACCCCCGTACAGAGCACCCAGTGGAAGGGAAGGGAAAGGTGAGGCTGCTCTGGTTCAGTAGCTGCCCCTGGAGCCGTGAGAGAAGAGACTCCAACCGGCACAGAAAAGCCCGCCCTGGGTTTAATCAACAGTGTTGACTGAGCACCTACTCAGAATTCTGCTTGGGTTTCTGGGGAGCTTCACAGTGAGGCAGATGAAATCCTGCCCTCCCTCCAGACTGTAAACTCCTTGTGGGCAGGAACCCTACTTTAGTCTTCTGCTAATCCTAGTGCTTGGCACACAGTAGGTAGTCAATAAATGACCAACGAATACAGTGTCCTTGTGATCCCGGTGACGTTCTACACAGGATTGAAAGGGACTTACTTTTAAGTGAGAAACTTTGCACACAGATAGGCCGGCCTCATAATACAGAGTGGGAAACCAGTACAGAATAAAAAACGCAAAGTGCCTGACTTATATGTGACGCACAGCTCTGTGGTCTCCATATGTTCTGGAGAATTTTTGAGACCCTGTACTCAGCACACCCAATAATGTTTACGGCATCTAATGTTGGGTTTTGTTCACTGCTTTTTCTGTGGGGCTCAAAATCTTTTCCAGAACGTACTGCTTTGATCCTCACATCTCTGTGATGGGTGCAGTGCTCTCCATTGGACAGAAAGCAGCCTTTGAGGCCCAGTAGATACAGCTTCATTCCCCGCTTCAGATGTGAGTAGAAGCCAAAAAGTGGAATCTGGTCTTTGGATTATCAGTTTCACTGTTCAGTGTATTAGAATATCACTTAATTTTTTAGGCATACAAGTATTTTTAATCATATGATAATCATTTATGGTATAACTTAAACCCCCAAACGTATCCTTTGCAAGTTGCACAAATATAAACTAAAAGATCTTTGGTTTTCTTTGTCATTTAGCTGTGGGAAATTTAAGAATTTACTAAAGTTGTAAGAACAGAAGTCATAAGCGTTTGTGTTTGAGAGAGAAGCTGTTTCTACTTTTAAAAGCTGAAGCTTCATTTATCCTTCCCTTTCTTACCACATCTAACCAGTAAGGGAAAAGATACTCTGTCTTAGAATGTTGAGGGAAGCATTTTGCTAGCTTTCTAGTAATCCCTGAAGTATTCCCTAGAGCTGGTTGATAGAAGTTTATGGTACAAGGGTGAGGAATGCCCCACTTGCCCACATTTGAGGGGAGTGTGAACTTAGGTGAGTTAATCCTGCCTGCTGGCAGCGGAGTCCTCCTGGTCTTGAACTGGAGACTTCCTCTATTTTTTGGCAAACCAGCTAGTAAAAATTCTAAATTTTTTGTAATTTTGTTTCAGAGGTAATTCTATTATTTTAATTTTAAACATATCTCGACTTGGTCTCTGCAGTATGCGACGTGTGAGAAGCTCAGATGTAGCTCTATATTCTTTGGACTGATGCATACTGCTTAGGAAAGTTAGTTCTTTTCAATTCTATCATTGACGTTCTCTAAACGAATGGATTTTTAAACTCCTTCCCTTTCTTATGAAATCAAATATCTAATAACGTTGCATAATGATCTAGTGAGAAATGTCTGTTGCCTTCTCTTTTTCATGTTGAGATAAAAACTCATCTTTTAAAATTGCTACTCACCTGAAATTTAGGCTAATTATAATTTTTGATATTGACGTCTTCATGGCCCAACAAAGTTGTTGTAGACTCTTAAATCACTGTGATCTGAATTAGAGAAGGTGCAGGTAGGAGGGGGTGACAGCCCACGAAGTCTGGGTACATATTGCGTAAGATGACGCGGAGAAAGCTTAGCCACTTCCTGTGACCCTAGTAAATGAATGGCCACTTCAAATCCCGAGTGGCTGTGGGTTCATCTTTCTTTCTGGTTGGTGAATTATATTTGTTAGAACTTTATTTTTAGCATATCAGTACAGCTTTTTAAGTACCTTATTTTTATTCCTCTCACTCATCAATCACACACAAGGTGTACCTTAGAACCTTGGGTTAAATTTTTTCAAGTTAAACCGAGGAATTTGGTTCACAGTTTGCTTTATCATGTTTCCTGTTTAATCGGATGAGAATTACACATGCGCGTATTCCCTTGTTCTTCGTGTTTATAGGAAAGACGCTGTTCTCGGCTACCTCATTATGTAGTGTTGTGCTTGATCCCCTGCCAGTTTAGAAGAATTCAACACATTCTGTCCTTTAACAAAAGCCTGGAAACAAGCAGTAAGTGGCCTTGAGGAATACAATTCTCTAAGGCGTAGTTTCCATTTTACTACTTTTTTTAAAAAAAAATAGGCACTTTTAATCAGGAGGAACAATAATTCTCCTAGAGCTGCTGCAAAGTGATTACTTGAAACTCAACTTGAACTTTAAAGAGTCTTTACAAGGCTATGTTTTCATAACGTAGAAAAGTAGTATATTTAAACACCACTGCTGTGTAAAATAGAGGGCTTCATTGCCATTGTCATTCAGATCAGACAGGAAATCTTGTCTATCTGTAATTTGACCCAGTGTTTGGGATTTAGATGCTTGGGGCTACTGTTTTTCCTATTCTATAAGGTGCTATTGGGAGCAGTTTAAGGGTCTGTTAGGTGTAGTTTCATGAATTTGTTTCCCAAGAATCTTAATTTTGGTGAAAGTAGAGGGCTCATCAAGAAGTTCCTCTTCTCTTTTAGTTCTGATAACCTGGGGTTTTAAAATGAAACTCTGAAAGGGCAGGGCTGAGTTGACCAAACAACATAGAACTGCATTACGCTTAAAATCACGAGTGATCGGGTTTGTTTTGTGTGTCAGTGGAACTTCCCCAGCTTCCTCCCGTACGCACCATCTGCACAGGGCACGTGTGGGTGCTGTCCTTGCCAGCATCTGTCCGCCTACCTGGCTGGTGAGTGAGGGGGAGCTGCGGGGCCCATCACTTCTCGTAGACAGACCTTCCCTTCCGGGGGTGACTTCTTATAGGAATTACCCAGTACCCTTCATGGCCAAAAAGAGTTATGCCCATTCCTAAAAACCTAGCATACTAGGAATAACTTACATACCAGGTGAGATCTAAAACCTTAACTGTCCTTGTGCATTAAGATTTAATGGATGTGCTTGTGCTTTGTAGACTAAAGGGCTTGCTGCTGACAAAGTCCTCGGGGGCTTCTAGCCGTCGGCCATGAGGCATTCCCTTAGGTGGTTGCCAAGAGAACCAAGGTTCACCCCTCTAAAGCCCCAAGCTTTTGTATTGTAATTGTTTTGAGGAAAATATCTGTAAACATTCTCTGTACTGTCCCAAGTGAACCCAATGGTTGTGAGCACGCGTGGGCTTCAGGGCCGGGTGCACATGGGTTTGGAGATGCTGGCCGCTGGCTGCTTTGTGAGCTTCAAAGCTCTTTACCCCGTAGAAAGAGATGATGGGTGTTTACCTGCTGGGGTTGCTGTGAGGAATCAGTGGAGTAAGGACGGTGAGAACTTGGTGTCTTGCACACAGATGGGGTGGTTGGGATCTCAGCTGCCGTTGCCGCCCGACTCAGCCTCTAGTCACTCATGGTCTTAGCTCTCGCCCTTCGCTGAGTGTCCCCACCCTTAGTGCTTTCTTCATTCTCACGTCTGCCACCACAATACACGAGTAAATGCGTATTTGCACTTCCAAAATTATTTTCTGGATCCATGACACCGTTCTCCTCCTACTTCTCTAAGACCTCAATTCAAGGTAACTCTAGACAGTGGAAACACCCCAAAATATGTGTTTAGAATATTTAGAGTGGTTATAAATATCCCTTATTTCAGGGTTTGCCTAATGAAGTACTCTAGTAATATTTAAAACTCTTTCCTGAAGTTGAATTTTTCTTTTTTCCCTAAAATATTAAAGGTAGTAGTCTGTATTAGTCCAATAAACTGGATGTTTTCTAGATCTCTGTTTGAGATCAGTATACCTGAACTATGCTTTCTGAACTTGGATGTTATGTGGAACCTAAAAACAAACAAAGAAACTTTGTGTTACGTGTGTGTGTGTGTGTGTGTGTGTGTGTGTAGAACTCCTGTACCTTCAGGTAAAGAAGGGTTATTTAACAAAGTGATACCAAAAGTGAGCTACTTAATCCTTTTATAAAATCACTTCCTTTCCAGTTCAGATTACAGCCTGGTGAATTTAGTGGTACGTGACATACCCAGCTTATCTTGACTTCAATAAGGCATTTGATAAAGTCATTCTTGATATTTTTGTGATTGAGAAAAGGGAGTAGAAATAGGTTTAAAAGGTCTGAGAAATACCCAGGCAGTGTTGATAGGAACGGGCCCTTGTGTCAGCACGGATGGGGGTGATCTAGCAGTATGCGTTTTTAACGTTTTCACTACTAACTTATATAAAACTATAGACGGCAGAGGAAAGTGTTGGGTGTTAGGGTCTGCAGTGCTTTTTTTACAGTCTAATAACATGGCTAAATATAGTCTTATGTCTAGGTTCAGAGAAGATAGTTCCCAATTGAAAGGGAAAGAAAAAATTGTGTGTGGTGGGTGGGGGGGGGAATCATTGATAATTTGAACATAAGCCAACTGTTTAAAAAAATAGTGCCCTTGTCTGTGTTGGGGGCTGGTAGCCCGAAGAGGAAGTCTGTTCCATCCACATGCTGCATTGATGGGCCCTGGGAACCGCACTGAGCTGCCGACTCTGGGCACCAGCACCTGGGAGGCCACCTGGAGGATGATAGCCGGGGTGGTGGGCTCTCTGGAGGCCCCAGGCTCTGGCCTGCTGGGGGGGCTTTAGAAGGAGCAGATGTGCGTGCCCCAGAGCGCCTTGCTCAAGCCGAGAGGCAGAAACGGTAGAGGCAGAATGTTTCTGTCGCTCTTAGAACTTTCTAGAATTGCCTCGTGATGAAATGGGTGCCTCCTGTGGTTCTGAGCGCTCAGCTCTGAGAATCACCCCAAGGGTGCCCCGTGCAGCTGTGACTAGTGGGTGTGACAGTGTCAACCATGGGGGTCTTGCACGGTGACAGGATGTTGTCACAGGCTCCAAAGCTTCTTGCAGATGAGGTTCTGTGAACAGTTTAGTAAAAAAAGTGGGGGGGGGATAACGTTTGTATTTTAGCTTTCACATTGTTTTTGAGGAGAAGGGCCTCTGTTCCTCCTGACGTGTGCTCTCTCCCCGCCTCCCTCCCCTCCGTCCTCTCTGTTCGCTCACCGCCTCCTGATTGCAGCCACTGGCCCACGGCTACAGCCAGCTTCAGCCGAACCTTCAGAAATAGACGTACTTCTAGCGATTTCCCTAAAGCCATGTTAACTAGACAGGGATTCTTGCTGTTTGTATACTCTTTGTTCTAAATCCCTTAGTGCCTCTGCAGGCTTAAGAAAGCTGGTAAGTAAAAATCGGACTCTTAAGCAGGGCCTGGGATGCCATCGAGGGCACCGTGTACTGGGGGGAGTTGGGTTGGCTGACCTCTTCCAGCCCCTCCCAGCTCCAGGAATGGGCACCTCGCTGATGGGTTACTTTGTCATCCCTGGAGAAGCGTTTCCAGAGGACCTGCTTCCTCTCGGGTTCTGTCCCTCCCTCTTCTGTGAAAGCCCCTGCAGTCTTCCTCCCAGTTGACGGGGCTGCAGGGGCGCCACTCCCCCTCTGTGTCTCCTCCCGACCCCACCTGCCCCAAAGCCCAGGGACTGAGCAGAGGCTGGGACAGGCACTCAAGTCCAGGTCCAAGTCCAGGTCCGAGGGAGGGAGCTGTCCGCGTTGTTTTCCGGGCATGTGCCTTCTGCCCATCCCCTCGGCTGTCTTCACTCACTGCTAACCCTCTGTTTGAACCAGTGCTCACTTTCCTCCCCGTGTCCCGTTGTGCCTGCACAGACTGTGGGTGGGATCTCCGAGGACATGGGCCCTTCCTGCAGTTGACACTTCTTTCTGGGCGGTTGAGGAACTTTAGTCAAGATGGGGGAGGTATTTCGGTTGCGTTCTGCAGTGTACGCTTATTTACCTACTTTTCTTGGCAATCGCATCCTCGCCTGCCCTCTGTTCTCATCCCGTGGCCTCTCCCAGTCTGGTTTTTTAACTGCTTGAATTATGTAGCCAAAAGAGTGGGGGGCGCTCTTCTAGTTCCCCAGACATTTAGCCTAAAACACGTGTTGAAAAAGCATTCTTCCAGGATCCCTCACCTGGCCTCTGTGACCAGCACTTTCCGCCGCCAGAGAGCCAGAGCGGTGGCCCAGGCCGGGCAGCTCCCAGAGTCTGCACTGCTCTGCTCCTCCCATGTGAGAACCCGGGGCCCAGAGCCTCCCACCCCAGGCATGGCCAGGTGCATCTCTGCGGCTCCTTAAGCAGCTAGACTGGAACAGCCTCCCCAGGGCCCCAGGCGGCCTCACCTTCCACACCTGCCCCGGAGGTTCTTAGGGCTCCTCTCTGAGCCAGAAGCAGGGGCCCCAGATGCCAGACATACCACATCAGCACCCAGCTGCCAGGCGCCGTGCGGGCTCCACCTCGTCCTTTCCTCTTATTTAGCTCTGATTAAAAACACACTGCACTCCAAATTGTGACTAGGATCGGAAATTAGAATTCCTCATTTACAGTAAGAGAGAGACCATCTTTATGTATTTTTTTCAAAAGGAATTTTTGCTTCAGAAAAAACTCTAGAAAGTAAATGTATTCTTGTTAATCTAAGCATATGCTCACTGAATTGGACTCTATGCTTTGTATAAAATTACGTAGGATCTGGTACGTGGGGCAAAAGGGTATGTATCATCAGCTTAAAAACAAACCTTCAGTGTCGGTGGGTTTACAGCATTGTTTTCCTATAGGGGACCTCAAAATTTAAGTTCTGCGTGCAAACAAATCAGCCAGGTTGCATGGAGTAGATGATTTTATGATGGGAAATGTCTCCAGTGGCCTTTAGTTGAGAAAAGCACAGGCGCTTTAGCAACACTTGCTTCATTAAATATCAGTGGCTTTTTCTGCTGATGGGATTCTTTTCATTTTGACGCATCTGTGACACAGCCTCTGTTTGGTTCCTCATTCCTGTACCCCTTCAAGTCGCCAGTGACATAGCGGTACTTGTTTTGTGTTCAATCATACCACTTGTGAACTGTGACGACCATGAAAAAATAATCGTGTTTTCGGCAGAACATTTTGAACACCTGTCGCGGCCCGTTCTGCAATTGCATCAGCAGAGCTTGGAGTGATCAGTGGATTTAACAAAAGCACCTCCCTCCTCCACCCCTTCCCTCCCATCCTCATCAGAAACTATTGTAGAAGTACAGGCTCTGGCAGACTTCATTTTCACACTGTATGTTCCTGGTGACAGAGACGCTCGTACCTGTCTGTGAATGGGGTCCATCCATCACTCATTCTAAAACGTGTAGATTCATTCGTTGGTTTTCTCTCACCGATCCCAGTCTTCCGCTGTGAGAGAAGACTACCAAGGGAACTCCTTGAAACAGGGCCATAAATTCAGTTTGACTTTCCCAGACTCAGGGCTGATCTTCACAGTGGGCCCTGGTCCGGCAGAACAACCAGCGACACTCCTGTTGCCTGGTTGCCTGGGCGGCACCAGCCGCCATATGTGACAGTCGCCCTTGTCAAGAACCAGTTTTCAGCACACTCTTGTTTTGTCATTTTCAATGCTTTTAATACCATAAAGCAAAGTCCATGAATACCAGATTCCCAAAATACCGTATCAAAACTCATCCTCTTAAACGCAAGTCTTTGTTTAATTAACATATCTATATTTTCTGACGTGGTACATACAGAAGAGTTTTTAATTTAAATCCTGCAGCTTTTATTATCTGGTAAGATTCCAAGTTGAGCAGTCTACTTAGACGTGTATTCCGATGAGGTTACGTGTGTTCAGATGAGGTATCTCGATCTTTAAAGAAAGACCTACTACTGAAAAAAAACAGATTTGCAATGAAATAGACATAAGCTAGACAAAAGACATGCTATGGAAAGTTCAAAATATTTCAAGTACTGGGAAGTTGCAACTTGTAGAGTTATCCTCCCCGAATTCAGTAGGATAGCAGAGAAATTGTGCTAATGTGATTTCATTGAAACGTCACGTCTCAAACATCCTGTGGTACAAGCATATTCGTTTCTTCTGTGGAGTAGTTTTCTATTCCGTTGCTGGTACGAAATTTTAGTGAAGTTGAAGTAATTTTGAATTAGTGACCTTTCTTACGAAGTTGCTTTATGGTTTACAAGTAATACTGATGCAAACAGGCTATGTTAACTTTCTTAAAATTAAGTAGCACGCACTTTGTTTACAAGCTTGGTTTATTGTGGGGTAACTACGGGGTCACCCCGTTTCACGAGCACAGGATTTGTGCTTTGGGAACATAACTGCGTTCGTGCTGTTCTCTTGTACCAAGGATCAGTGAAAGTGTTTTATCTTTTTTATGTAGTTTGTATTGACTGGATTTTATAACTGTAAGAAAACAGAAACAGAGTGTTGTATTTTGATCTGAAATTTGTCTATGGTAAAGTAATTTTGTTTTATGTACTGGAAGTTCATTTAAAACTTGAAATATTTTCTAGAAGGGTACCGAACAAACGAATCGTCTTTAAGCTGTTTAATTAACCTAATAAAACAATTTGATGGGGAAGGCATTGTAATTGGTTCTGATTTTTACAGTGGTTCCCACTAAGTTAGCGTTGTCGATACAGCTTGGCTTGACTTCTGAATGGAAAATTCTGTTTTTTACACCACATCTTAAACGGTTTGGGTATCAGCTCCCTGGATCCTGGCTCACAGTGTAAGATACACTCCTTCACCACACTCCACAGTCATTGCCTTGGTGTCTTCCATCCCTTATCAGAATAAGTCCCCATTCTGACTTCCCCAAAAGACAGTTTCAAATTTACTTTCCTTGGAAGAGAGAATGAAATTAGACTTACGAGGAATATAGGATCCTGACCTCAACGGTCTAATTATACGTTGGAGAATTCTGTCTCTGACAAACAGAATTCTCTGTAATTTCTTCTTGGTCTCATGCCCACAGACTACAAAGCTACAAAGACCAGGGGTCCTGAAAAATGTCACAGGCAGATCTTCACCGAAGACACGGGGCAAAGAGAGACCCTCCCAGTAATGTCAAGGTTACGTACATGAAGTCGGCCAGAATCACTCCTGAGGTCACCTGGAAAGAAGAAGAAATGGAATATTCCTCTTCAGTCGTACAGCATAGCGTCAGGTAGTTCTGGAAGTTGGTTTTAAATTCTTTCCACCTTCCGTAATAGCGAGAAGGTTCTATGGTCCAGCGGTCTGCCAGCCTTTTTATCTTTGACGGGGGTGGGAAGGTTGCTGTGGAACCCTTTCTTTAAACAAAGACTTGGCCAGAAACCAGTGCCCAAGTTGGCTGGCTGCGGAAGGGTGTAGTCGGAGCTGTCGGAGCCTGAAGCCCGACCCTGCGATGCCCAGGCCTCCACCAGCAGCTCCGAGGGGTCCTGGCTGTACCCATTCACCCTTGGGAAACCTTAGCAGTCTCTGCCCTCCCAGAGCCTCCATTTCTTATCTATAAAATGAGACTTAGGTCACTGGATTTCCTTGTCTGGAGGGCAAGGACATAGTTCCTTGTTATATAAAACCCTGGACCAGATCATTGCCAGGTCCCTTTTATGTCTACAGTACCTGAGATGTCAGTCTGCTCAAAGCCTGCCCTGCAAAGGAACCCAGTTCTGGAAGAATAGACCCCAGATTGCCTGTTGTAGGTGGTGGGGGAGGGGCGCTTTGCCAGTTTTGATGCAGGTGGAGATGGGACAATGGGCGTTGACCGTGTCACCTTCCTGATACCGTTGCTGGCTTCAGAGAGTGACACGTATCTTGTCTTGACCCACTGTGCGCCAGGGACTGCTTTAAGCACCTCATGTGTTAACTCACTTCATCCTCACAACAACCCATTTTACAGCAGAGAAAACTGAGGCCCGTAGAAGTTACCACTTGGCCAAAACTCAGGCTTGGTGGTGGGAGGGCAGAGCTGGATTCAAGGCCAGGCAGACCAACAGCCTGTCTCTCTGGAAAGGGGACAGACCTTCTTGAAAGCTGCTCATGTGTTTGCCCAATGGCCAAGGATGGAAAATCGAACAGTTTTGTGGCCGAAGGGGTCAGTCAGGGGAGACTTTCTCGATGGGAGCTGAAATAGGAGGTTTGTTGCTGGTGCCGCCACCATTTTTTCAGCTGGAATAGAAGCTGATGAGAGCCAAGGTATTTTTTTAAAAAACCGAGACCGGACTTCCCTGGTGGCACAGTGGTTAAGAATCTGCCTGCCAGTGCTGGGGACACAGGTTCAAGGCCTGGTCCAGGAAGATCCCACATGCCGCGGCGCAGCTAAGTCCGTGCGCCACAACTACTGAGCCTGCGCTCTAGAGCCCGCAAGCCACAACTACTGAGCCCGCAAGCCTAGAGCTGGTGCTCCACAACAAGAGAAGCCACCACAATGAGAAGCCCGCGCACCGCAACGAAGAGTAGCCTCCGCTCGCCGCAACTAGAGAAAGCCCGCACGCAGCAACGAAGGCCCAATGTGGCCAAAAATAAATAAATTAATTAATTCAAAAACAAAAACAAAAACCAACTTTGAGTGAGGGTGTGTGTGTGTGTGTGTTGTGGTGGTGTTTTGTTGTAAAAGAAACCTGTAGCTTTCTGGAGAACTTGAGTTCCTTCATGTTCACTGCCTGTTAGGTTTTGGAGTAGCTTCTGAAATTTCGGTGTGAGTAGGGCATGATCCTCTTTGTCCCCACGAATTTTTTCCAAGAGCTGTGTCAGTGGCCTCCCCTGGCCCCAGTCCATTTTCACCCAAGGATCTCTGTCTGCGTGCAACGCATTCCCTGCTAATAAAGTCGCCCCCGGGGCTGCAGCGGGTTTGAGTTCTAGGATGACCTTGGGAATCCACTTTCTCAGCTGGATCTGTGGAGGTGGGGCTGTGTGGTATCTCAGCTCCACTTTCACAGTGAAGGATAAGCAGTTCGCACACACTAGGATGGCTATCATGAAACAACAGCTACAGAAAATAGCGAGTGTTGCTGAGGATGTAGAGAAATTGGAACCCTCGTGTACTGCTGGTGGGAATGGAAAACGGTGCAACCGCTATGGGGGGCCATTTGGCGTTTCCTCAGCAAGTTGAAGAGAGTTACCATGTGACCCAGCATTTCCACTCTCAGGCATATATACCCAGGAAAGATGAAGACAGGGGCTCAAACCAATGTTCACAGCAGCACTGCTCACATTAGCCGATAGGTGGAGACAACCCACATGTCCACCAAGAGATGAATGGATACACACCATGTGGCCTGTTCATCCAGTGGAATACTATACAGCCATAAAAAGGAGCGAAGCACTGATACATGCTCCAACATGAATGAACCTTGAAAGCACGCCAGGTGAAAGAAGCCAGTCACAAAACACCATGTATTCTATGATTCCATTTATACAAAATGTCCAGAAAAGACAGATCCCTAGAGACCAAAAGTAGATTCATGGTTGCCAGGCCTGGAGGGAGAGAGGAACGGGGAGCAACTGCTCATGGGCCTGGGGATTCCCTTCAGGTGAAGAACACGTTTTGGAAAAAGAAGTGCTTGCACGATGTCGTGAAAAGTACTGAATGCCACCGAATTGCACACTTTCAAATGGTTTGTGTTATGTGAAGTTAGCCTCAAATAAAAGGATGAGGGATCAAGTATAGGGAACACATCAGAAAAGTGATCAACACTAGCTGCTGGGTCGTTGGCAAGGTTGAGGAAATGGGAATCCAGTTTCCTACCCCCAGTGCTGTGCACTGTAGACGGCCCCGGGCGGGAGTGCCACGTGTCTGGTGTGCGAGGTCTGCCACCTGTGTGTGTGTCAGCTGGCGTCTGGGGTGATCCACAGACCTCTTCCTCACCATCAGGAAACTGAAAATCCGAACAGCTTTTCTGAATTCGATTGAGCAGGAGCCAGTCTACCTGTTAAATACCAGACGGCTGAGTTCAAATCCGGTCTCCACCACCACTGCTTCCTTGGGGTAGTTCCTTACCCCCTGTGCCTCAGGGACAACGGGACCATCCTGGGGACATAGTGTGAGCCGAAGGGGCTACCACGTGGCACCAAGCCCCGGCCGGCGCACGGCAAGGCCCTGTGCTGGTCACAGGGCTCTTGCCTCTAGGCTCCGTCGGCACTGCCACTTACTAACAGGGTGCCCTGCACTACGGCCCAGCCTGGCCCGCTGCTTCCCCAGCGGTAGCAGCAGCCTCCTCCCCGCCTCAGAGTGTGGCACGGGTGCCGGACCCCTCGCCCAGGAACCATAGCCACTCCTAAAATGTTTGCAGGGAAAGGCAACTTGCGCTCCCCCAGGCTGGAGGCGGGGTGCTCGGAGAATTCCCAGCCTGGGAATCTTACCGTAAGGGTGGATGTATTTTTATCCAGCAGGATATACTTATCAGCTATGGCCAGGAAAGGGGAAACTGACTAACAATTCCAGCCTGGCCAGATTCTCCATCACTGCCACTGCTGTGTTTCCCCACTGCAGCTGGGAGGAAGAGGGGTATCACCTGCCTGGGGTGTCGGTGCCCCTTAGCTGCCTTCCCCCCATCCTTTAAGCTGCCCAGGGACTCTGGGGGGACAGCACCCATCGGACACCTACCATACAGTGGTGAGCCGGTTATCCTCACAGCATTCCTAAGAGATCATTGTGACCCTCCCCTAACAGACAGGAACGTCACAAGCCATTTGAGTCACTTGCTCCAAGTCATGTGGCTGGTCTGAGGCAGAACTGGCATTTGGACCCAGGTCTATCTGATAGCCATGCCCAGGTTCTTCCTACAACTGTCCTTTCGCCTTTATGCTGTCTCTTTTTGTCAGCAGACAGAACACAGGGAGACTGGCACTAGCACAGTCCCCACGCTGATGGGTCCACACAGCACCCAGCCTGGAGACATGGCCAGAAGAGCCAGCTGTGCTCAGGGCCCTCCCTCTCAGCGTTCTCTGCAGAAAAAAACCCTGCGATACCTTAACTCCTGTGGTTAACGGAACGATGCTCCCCCGGCCCCCAGATACATCGATGTCCTAATCCCTGAACCAGAGAATCTGTGACCTGATGTGGCAAAAGGGACTTTGCAGATGTGACTGAGTTAAGGGTTTGAGCTGGGAGATGATCCTGGGCTATCCAGGTGGGCCCCGTGTCACGACAGGGGTTCTTATAATAGGGAGGCAGGAGGACCAAAGAGAAGAGGTGACAACAGAAGCAGAGGTTAGAGTGACGCAGGGCCCCAGGCCAAGGAATGTGGGCGGCCTCTAGAAGTCGGAAAAAGGAAGGAAACCGATTCTGCCCTGGAGCCTCCAGAGGGAAGACGGCCCTGTGATACCTTGATTTGAGCTCAGTGAGACCAGTGTTGGACTTCTGACCTCCAGAGCTGCGAGATAATAAATGTGTGTTGTTTGAAGCCATTCAGTTCGTGGTGGTCTGTTACAGCAGCCGTAGGAAACTATTACAACCCCACCCTCCAGGAGTTCAGCCTTGATTAGTCTGGGGGGGCCCAGGAATAGGACCCAGGTGACTCTAATGTTCAGCCAGAGCTGAGACCCACCCGTCTCCCAGATTCCTTTCCATCTCGGAAACGATGCATCTGCTTCCAG